TTGATACAATCATTTTAATAAATTAAATAATTTATAATTAATTTTATAAAGGTGAATAAATTACAAATAATTTTATAAATGTAATAAATTAAACTATTTATAAAATTATTTATATCAATAATAGTAAATTACATATATTTTAATAATGGACACACGAATTCAACATGCTTATAAACCAGAAAAAAGTTACAATAATTTTATAAACAGGAATAAGTTAATATCATTTTATATAAATTAATGGTATAATATAATGTATTAAATATTTATATAACACTTTATTAAATAAATTTATTTCATGAAATTAATTTTATATAATATCATTAATATTTAATTATTGAAAATTCGCAATAAACTGAAAAATATTTATTACAAATCGAATATAATAAAACATAAGAAATAAATACATAATTTTGAAATGTTATATATGATTCATTGTAATAATAAATGTTAAATTATTATTTAATATTATAATAAATTTTCCGATATTCTTATATTTAATTTATTCTTTTTTCCCGTATATAATAATAATATTCTAATTTTTGATTGACAATAATAAATTCATTTTAATTAGTTAGACATTAAGATAATAAATTTAATATATATCACTAATACACGATATTTATTTATAAATGTAATTAACTAAGAGACACATATTTATCACTGTTGAATAAATAAATTTAAGATGATAGGGTAAATATTTATTTTTATAATTATTTTTATAAACTTAAATAACTTACAAATATTTTTATAAACGAACAAAATTCAAATATTGATGTAATTGTTTTTAACATGAATAAGTTAAAATGTTTTTATAAATTGTCACACGGGTTAAAGACACTTATAAACGAGAAAAAGTCTACATATTAATATAATTAATTTTACAAACTAAAAATAAATTATAATAATTTTATGAATAAATTATAAATATTTTTATAAACCGGAAAAATTCAAGTATTGATACAATTATATTTATAAAATAGTATAAGTTTCATATATTTTTATAAATAGACACACGCGTTCATTTTTATAAACGAGAATAATTTAAAATTATTTTTATAAATGAGAAATTCAAATTTGATAAATGATTATATATTGTAATTATATTAATATTAACCAACTGAGTACATGAAATAAATTCACGGGTAGAATAAATGTATCTATGACATACCAGATAATTGAAGTTAAAGAATTGAATGTAATGTTTTAAATGACAATTAAGTTATATTTCCAATTCTTCTTCATTCCCATATTTCTAATTCTTCTTCATTCCCATATTTTCAAGAGGGAAGAGACAACACAAGTTCTAATGAACTAGCGGAATTTTTAAAATGGATTTTAAATGTGGGTGATGGTAAGATTTGTGAACCCAATGATGGTTTGGTTGATATTGAAATTCCTCAAGAGCTATTAATATCAAATTTTGATGATCCTATAAGAGCAATTGTTCAAAACACATATCCCAATTTGTTGGAAAAATATCAAGATGTTGAATTCTTACAAGGAAAGACTATTCTTGCTTCAACCATTGAAGTTGTGGACAAAATCAATCATTATGTATTAGACTTGATCCCAAGTACATGTGTTTTATATTTACTGTATTATTACATTCATAATATATATATATATATATATATATATATATAAGAACATAGTTTTACTAATTTATTTATGTTTTGCTTTTAAACTTTTTTTTAGGAGAAGAGAAAGAGTATTTGAGTTTTGATTTCATTGATAGAACAGATTCAAGTTATACTGAAGCATATGAAGTTCTAACTCCTGAATTTCTCAGTAAATTAAGAACGTCAGGGCTTCCCAATCATAGGATCAAATTGAAGGTTGGTACACCTATTATGCTAATGAGAAATTTGGACCAAGCCGATGGGTTGTACAACGGAACAAGATTAATTGTTACAAGATTTGCAAATCATGTCATTGAGGCAAAAATCATGTCTGGAAAGAACATAGGTAACATTTTTTACATTCCACGAATATCTATGTCACCTTCTGATTCACCTTGGCCATTCAAGTTGATTAGGAGACAATTTCCGATTATTGTCTCCTATGCAATGACAATTAATAAGTCACAAGGTCAATCTCTTGATAGTGTTGGATTGTATTTGCCTACTCCTGTGTTTAGTCATGGTCAATTATATGTTGCAATTTCAAGAGTTAAGAGCAAAAGTGGGCTAAAAATCCTAATTCATGACAAGGAGAATGTACCGTGTTCTACTACTACTAATGTTGTGTACAAGGAAGTCTTTCAAGCACTTTGATAGTTGGTAAACTTTATATCTTATACTTTACGATTCAAATTAAAAATCTATTTTGAATTAAAATATATAGTATGTACATTTTCCATGTATTTCAAGAAGTATATAATTTTTCCTATTTGTTCATGCAGACGTGATTTGTTGATAGGATCGACGCTTGCTACAAATATGAAGTTAAATGCCAACATGGTTTACATGAGACATATACTCAACTGAAAACATGGTAACATACTTAATAATTTAATAATCTATAAATGTAATGTGAATCCAGACGAGACCCGTGTGATAGCACGAGTTTGTTACTAGTTTTATCTAAAGTCGAGTTTACGATGAGACAAAAATATATAATTATTTTACGACTCTATGTTATTTATTATATAGTATAAAAAATAAATATTTATTATTATATTTAATTATAATTTTGATCTTTCTTTTATTTTTTTTTATTTTAGTTTCTCCATTTTAAAAATCAATTTTTGTAATCATCTAGTTTATTTTTTGAGAATTTCAATCTTCCTTCATAGTATTTTGCAATGGTCCAAAATTGTAGTCAATAGATAAAATTGAGCCAATCAACCATCTAGTCATAAGAAGAGTTATTAATCGTCCAAAGAAGAACCGTATCAAGGCAAATGATGAGCCTAAAAACATAATACTTTATCTAGATTTCTCCAAACAGTAAAATGTCAAAATGCATAAATATGAAACATAACATGCGAGCATGCAAAATTAAAAGATCGGCTAAGAGAATAATACATAAAAAACAATACCTAAAACATCACTATTATCACTACTATATCATTAAAATGCTCTCAAATTTAAAAGGAACTAAAATCCTCAAATAAACTAAATAAAGAGACTATAAACCCCAATTTTTAAAATAAAGGAAGCAAAATTAAATAATAAAAAAAGGAATAATATAAGCATCAAAGTTGCAATTCAGCCTTATTATTAACAATATTTATACCTATCTATTTAACTTTATCTCAATAAAAATTTCAAGACAATTAGGGGTGTGCAAAAAAACTGGTTACTGATAACCAAATTCATATCTAAATTGTTCCATTTATTAAAACTCAATTCAAATATTAAATATTGAATTTGGTGGTCCATCTGTGATGAAAGTGATAAATTGGTATCCATAAAATGGTTATTGGGTATCCAAATTTCCTTCTCATCAAATTTTTCTGCTTTCCAATTTTCACACTTTCTCAAGAAAATAAGCTCTACACATTTTCATAAAAATTGAATGATGTTTAACACTTTATTTCAAATGACTAATTATTAAATAAATATAAAAATATTTAATTATAGTTAAAAAATATGCAAACACTCTCAAATAAATCGAAAGATATAGTATATTAAACATTTAAAAAGCAAAATATATTATTATCACTGTAGAAGACAAATTTAAATTTGAAAGAAATTATTTGAATTTGATCACTTTTCATTCAATATACATATACTTTATATAAGAAAACAAATGTGCACAATGAATTAATTAATACTATCTCAGTATTAATTGATTTTTCTTTTAGGATTGATAAAACAAAAAGGATCATTTAAACATAAAAAAGTTTTAAAAAATGCTTTGTGACCGTGAGAACGACTGCGACAAAATGTTTTGGACATATGTCGATATCGATACTGTTATATCTGTTTTATATTAAAAAAATAAATTATAATTAATAATTTACACTGCGACGAACACAATCAATGTCGTAACACCTCTATCGACCGAAATTGCAAAAATGGTAATACGACTGCGACATTTTTTTAAAATCTGCTTAAAATTAAATTAAGAATGTGCTTTATTAATGTTTAAAAAAATTAATACTGAATTAATTTTAAAATTTTATTAATTAAAATAAATTAAATATAAATTAAATTATATTTAAATAATTTAGATTAAAATTAAAACTGGTTTCAAACCGGTTTTAATCCAGTTTAAAATCAATTATGTTTTTTAAATCAGTTTTTGTGATTAATTGTTTGATTTATAAAAGTAGATTGGATCACAATATATGATAACGATGCACAACCCTAAAAACAATATAAATAATACTAGTAGTTTAGTTATTTTAACACCTTATCATCAAATTCTTACCAACAGATTAACCGCGCAAAAGGAAAATAATAAAAATACTCAAATTTTTTATATAACTCGTCAATTTTAATTAGATGAATTCGTCTACTGAATTTGTCAAATGTTACGTTTCCTTCTCATATGCTCATAACCACGCAATTTATTCACGAGTGCAAAAACTCTTTGATTGAAATTTATAGTCAATGCTTTAGTCGACGAAACATTAAATACATTTCGAAGTGAACTCAAAATTAATAATTAATATTTAACTAATATCATTCTATATATCAATAATTATCGTGTTTTCTAATACTCTAATTTCGAGTTTACCGAGACAAAAATATATAGTTATTGCTCATGCATTAGCAAAAAGCAACAACCACATATAGAGTTAGTTAATTATCAAGTTTGTATGATATTCATAAACATGACCCATCATTTTTATATTGTGATATTGGATCCAATAAGCCCGACCCGATTCTCTTACCAAACCGAAAACGGTGAACCACAGTCAAACATGCGTTTAGCATTTCAAATCCCTTCTCCCTCTTATTCACAAACCTAGATAAAACAATTGATCCTCTTTCGCTCGCAATTTCAATGCAAATTCTCCAAAATTAGGGTTTATTCTTCTCTCTGCAACCATGGTCGCAAAAGCCATGGCCGCGACTTCGCGTGAAAACCTCGCAAGTCTCATCCACTCAGCCAAATTGGCCATTGACATACCTTCAAAGCTCGACTCATTGCGCAAATTGAAGACCGAACTGCCTCAAGAAGATCCTGTCATTCTCACCGAGTTTCTCCCTCCGCTTTTCGACTTCCTCTCGGATCGTTTCAGTCCTGTTCGCAAATTTGTTACAGAGTAAAGATTGAACTTCGTTTGCACTTTTTTTGTTTTTGTTTTTGGTTGCATTGTTGTTTGGATTTGATTTTGATGTAAGAATTTGTGTTTTTCTGTTATTGTCTATGGTTGAAGGATGATTGGTGAAATTGGATTGATGAACACTGAATTCTTGCCTGATATTGTGCCTGTGTTGATTGATGTTTTGGATGATGATACACCGGCTGTTGTTCGACAAGCTATACTGTGTGGAATCGATTTGTTTCCTTACACACTCGAGAAAATCGCGGTTCAGGTAGTTCATTTTTCTTAATTCCAACAGCTTTCAGTTCAGTTGGTTGTTGTAACAAAATTGTTGTGCTGGTTTGATGGTAGATGTTTTTTTGTTGTTGAATGTCAGTGTTGGTGGTATTGTGTGTTTTGTTATTTCAATAAGAAATTAATGCATATGAAAGATAATATACTTAGGTTTTACATTATTTTGTTTACACACTTGGATATATGTTATCGTATTCATCAACAGTTTGGAAGAGAATGAGAGTGTTGGCAAGGTGAGTGAAATGTTTGTTGTGGAGGTTAATATTAAATTTGTGAATCAAGGTTCAAGAAACATGAGAAGTCAGGGAAGTTTTCATTATAAATCTGTCTAGATTGGCTTATTTGAGCTTATCTTATGCTATAATTTTTGTGACACGGTTTGGAAGAGCTTATTAAAACAACTTATAGCATTACTTGAAAACTTTTTTGAGCTTATTTTTATAAGCTCTCAAACATAACTTATGAAAACAATTTATAGCACATATAAAAATAATTTAAACTTATTTAATCTTTTGTTAGAAAAATAGCTTATGCAAGCTTTTTTCATAAGTGCTTATTTTGATAAACACTTGTGCTATAAACTCTAAATAAGCTGTTTATCCAAACAGGCCCATAGTTTAACTTGGTTTTTTGTTATCACTATAGGCTACATCCCCATTGGCTTCCAAACTACAAAGTTTTGCAACACATTTGATTTTGTAAACTTTTATTTTACCTTACTACAACATTATAACTTGAACATCTTATATAGAGGGTTGAGGCAAATTTACTATTCATACCTCAAGTTCTCCACGAAAAAATGAGGAAAAGAATGATAAAATGCTAGCATGTATTTGAACATAAACTTTGAAAATTTAAAATCTTATAGTAGTTGTCTCTCATTTTATCTCATAGCTATTGCTTTCATGTATTATAGGTATATATTTTAAGATATGAACATCTCCTTTCCTGTTTTTGTTTTATTCCAGGGTCTATACTCTAGTGATTTAGACAGCGCAGTTGAATCTGCGTGGGAGTGGATGATTAAATTCAAAGACAAAGTATACTCAATAGCATTTCAAGTGAGTAATTGTTTTCTTGATAGTATGAAATTACTTGCTTTTGTATATTCTCTGATGGTTGTACTCTGTAACTTGCTTAAAAGAATGGAAGGGGTGGAGCAAAGCTGCTGGCATTGAAGTTTGTTGAAGCAGTTATTCATCTTTACACACTTGATCCTAATGGTTCCACAGAACCCACTTCTCATCAAGGTATTACATTTCAAGTTTGGTTGGATAATATCATTAGTCTTTCAAAAACGTATGTCAATTTGTTGTTATCGTAAACCTCAAATCACCTGCTTACATGGCTTTTCAATAATTTTTTTATAGGAAAACAACCAGTATTTAATATCTCGTGGCTGAGGCGGGATCATCCTGTACTTAACATTGGAGATTTGTCAATGGAAGCCAGTCATAATTTGGGTCTCTTGCTTGATCAACTTAGGTTTCCAACTGTGAAGTCTCTTAGTAACTCAGTAATCATTGTGCTGATTAAAAGGTATTGGATCTTTTTTTTTTCAAGTCCTCAGGATCGAAATATTTGCCTACGTCTTTGTCTCTCTCACACAGACTGTGATCATTATGCTTATTAAAAGTTGTTCAAAAAATTATTTTATGCCTGCTGATATTCTATGACTTGTTCCCCTTACATACGCACACGAGGAGAATACTATGTTTTCACTTTCTGATGATACATGCACAATGAATAGATGATCGATATTTGCATGCTCATATGACCCTCTCAAACTTGTTCATGGGTACACATGCATGCAAAGAGAAAAAAACTGATCGGGTTTTGGCTGGAAGAAAACAAAAACATTTATTTTGCAATGTTTGACACTAGTTTGAGGATTGTTCTATGTCTGGAATTAGATTTTTTTTTTTTCATTGCCAGCAATCACTGATTACTGTTAACACTGTTTGGAAAAATCTATTATTCAAATGTTACCTTATTGCTATTGACATACTCTTTTCTCTACTCCTAGCCTTTCAGCAATTGCTATAGACAGGCCTGCATTCTATGGTCGCATCTTGCCAGTTTTGCTCAGTTTGAAACCCTCAAGCTCTGTTGTTAATGGGGTGTGTGTGTCTGCGGCACATCTTGCTCTAAAGAAGGCCTTTCTTACGTGCACGAAATGTACACATCCAAGTGCTGCCCCGGTATTTTTTACAAACCAAGATGCTTTTGATATCTTAATTTTTTGTATATGCCAACTTTTAAAGTTTTCTTCATTTTTATATCATGAACAATTTCATATTCTCCAACCCCACCTAGGGAAAAGACTTTTCTTGTTGGTAAACAGCGTTATGTTTATCACTTCCATATAATATTTGCATGTCATCAAGTGTTGTTAAATGGTGGCTTCTATTTCCGTTGGTGGACATGGCATCCATGACAAAAAGTGCCAAAAGTAGATATTGGTAAAACAGACCCAATCGAATCTAAACACTGAAGAGTAAAAACCCACTTCCCACTCAACTCACTGAACTTTTATGCCATCTTTCACCTGCACTTCTCTGTTATCTCTCTCCCATGCATCTCTGTCATCTCTTTGTTACCCATCAATGGTGAATGATACATTTCTTGTGGATGGTTTCTCCAATGACTTCAGTCTTACTCATGGTAGTTAAAATCCTGATTTGATTTGTAAAATCCCACAATTTTGCGATTATGCTTGCCCTCAGCGATTATGAGTATACACTGAATCCTATTTTGAGGGAACCATGTGGAATTGCCCTATTAATCCTTAAACTGTACAGTATTATCAAATATCTTCCAAATATCGGCCAATGTGAGGTTGCCTGAACTACCCTGCCTCCAACCCACTACAACCCAACTGGCCTATAATTGCGGGGGGGAACAAGGATAAACAGACAATTAGACTCATTTTGCAAAGTATTTATTTAGAAGTTGGAGAACAGATTCTTCTATTTGTAAATGTGTAATAATGGATTAATAGTCTCAAATGAAGTATTGAATTGAAGGAAAGCTTATTTATATTATGTCTGGGTAAAAGTCAATGCACTTTGGTATGGCCATTTCCTTGTTTAAAACTTTAAAGTTGATTGCGTATGAAAAGTGAGAGCTAAAAAATACCCAAATAGATACTTTCAATCTTATTACTTTTTCCTTAAATGAGGTTTGGTATACTTTATAAACGAGACATAGATGACTTATATTTTTGTTTGTTTTGTTTTTGAAGTGGAGAGAACGTTTGGCAGGTGCCTTGAAGGAGATGCAGTCCGAAGGGAAGGCAGATCAGGTGTTCCAGCCAATCTCTGCAAGTAATGGAAGTACATTACCAAGAGAGGATTATCAACCAGTTATCAAGGTAACAACCATTTATTTATTTTTGGATATGTTTTTGTTATTATGCAGTATGTTTTTATTTGAGCTGTGTATATATGAATAGGGAGGTGTGTATATGCTGGATGAAATATTGCCTATGTGACTGAATAGAGATGCATTTATTGTTCAAAAATTGTTTTCTTTGTAGAAGGGATTGGCAGTACCCTCTCCATTTCAAAATATCTGCCAATTATTACATAGAGAATAGTTTTGTTTCATTTTTTTTTTTGCTTTAGAAAATCAAGATCACATTTTTTTCATACTTTATTTTAATGGGGTGTAATATATTATAATTGACAACATTAATAATTATCTTAAAATTACTGGATTGCAATATTTTTGATAATGGATAAGTAAAATGCATTAATATTTTCTTATAACTGAGGCTAATTCTGGTGTCACAAATGGGATCATGGCTGTAATAATACAGATGAATTGCCAATAGATATTTTAGAAACAGGTAGTAGTTATAGATTTGCCAAACACTGTTGCGTTATGTCTATGATAATTCAAATGAATCTTCATGGATTATTAATTAATTTCTTTTATTACATATTTTCAGCCTGCTATGCTAGTTATTAACTTTATGAGAAAGTTTTACTAAATCTCTGCAAATTATTTAATTATAGTAGGGCATCAGTACATTTATATAATGAAATATCAAGTGTGTCTTAGTAGTTCTGGATGGCAATGTTATCATTTTACAGGAAGAGGATGCTGCAGTAAATTTGTTTGATTCAGGGCACATAAATTTAGGAAGAAAACGATCAGGATCACCAAATGGAGGTGATTTAGCTGAAGATGCAGATGTTCCTGGAAAACGTATTAGAACAACAACTGATGGTTTACAACATAAACCTAAAATGGAATTAGATGATGGTACTGCTAACACACAGGATGACACTCCTTCGACTGCACTAGCATCTTCAAAAGGAGATGCAGATAATGGGCCTGTACAGCAGCTTGTTGCCATGTTTGGTGCTTTGGTTGCTCAAGGTGAAAAGGCTGTTGCATCTTTGGAAATTCTTATCTCAAGTATTTCTGCTGACTTACTAGCTGAGGTGGTGATGGCAAATATGCGCTATCTACCTCCAAATTGCCCTAATGCTGAAGGAAATGATGAACAGTTGCATGATATTAGTATATTTGGTTCTCACGACAAGGCTAAATATCCACAATCATTTGTGGCTGGTGTTATGTCACTTTCTAGTACTTTCCCGCCCGTTGCTTCACTTCTTGATGCTCATATATCAGTGTCCAATGTTCATCAATCAGGGTCCAATGTTCACCAATCAGTGTCCAATGTTCATCAATCAGGGTCCAATGTTCATCAATCAGTGTCCAATGATTTAGTGGTATAATTTATGTAATTGGTATCTTTTTTTTGTACCTTGCTTTTTTTATTGTTTATTTCTTATAGTTATCCTTTGGCTAACTTTGTAAACACATTGTAGAAATCTCACGGGGAGGAAGAAATTTCTTCAACTGGAGTAGATAGCAGTGTTATGCATTCTGGCATGATTCTTTCATCTCAAAATGCACCATCACCTACTGATTTTCCATCTTCTGATACTTGTATACCTGGAGTGGAGAATGTCAGCACAACTCTGCCTTGTGACATAGATGACGTTGGCAACTTAGAGAGTGGAATCCCTGGTCTGGATTCTTTTGGTCGAAATGATGCATTGTCAGAAACTTTGGCTGCTCCCTCATTGGTTTCCTCTGATATGCAAATAGAAGATGCCAGTCAAGAGCAAGTTACGAGTTTGGATAATAGCCCACCCTTGAGCTTAGTTCCTTCAATATCCGCAGATAAATCTGAGGAGCTAAGCCCAAAAACAGTTGCTACAGATGTCAATAGTTTGGTGTCCTCAACAGCTACTTCAGTTGTGTTGCCTTCTCGTCTAGTCTTGCCAACGATGATTGCTCCAGTCGTTGATCTTGCAGATGAACAGAAGGATCATTTGCAAATATCATGTTTTATGCGTATCATTGATGCATATAAGCAAATATCTGTAGCTGGAGGCTCAAAAGTTCGATTTTCAATACTTGCTTATTTAGGAGTTGAGGTGAAAATTCCAACTTAACAAGAATGTGATTTTTTCTGGTTGTGTAATGTAATGGCAAATGAGGTTAAGTGTTCGATATATCAACTGCCATATTCAAGATTGTTTTAGAAGCGTGGACGTCCCATTGTGAGAATAAAGTGAGTGTAGCAGAGATGAGGATGTAGCGTTGGATGTGTGGTAAGACTAAACAGGATAAGATTAGAAATGACAATATTAGAGAGAGGATTGGGGTAACACATATAGTAGAAAATATGGTCGAAAATAGACTTAGGTGGTTTGGGCATGTAGAGAGAATACTCGTTGATTTTGTTGTAAGGAGAGTAGATCAAATGGGGAGAAGTGAAACAACTAGAGGTAGATGGAGACCTAGAAAAACTATTAATAAAGATCTTGAGATTAACGAATTGAATAGAAACATGGTATTTGATTGAACATTATGGCATTATTTGATCCATGTAGCCGACCCTTTTTTTCACATTTTCATGTACCCGCTTATGGCCTTCCTTGCATCTGAAACTAGATGAGGTGGGAAGTAAAATTTCATCGAACTTCGGAGATTTGTGTGATTTAGGCTTAGTGGGTTATGATTGTATCAGAGCTATCAGAACATGTCATCTTCAGAATTTACCCTCCTAATATCTTTTTCTTTCGTTAATCACGATTTTTATATGGCCTCCTGTTTAAACTATCTTGTTTACCACGATGCATTACTTTGAACATTAAATGTTTTCTTATTACCTGTTTTATAGTTCTGAATTTTATGCAATTAGGATATAAATTTCCATTACTAGTTGAATACATGTTTATTATTTCTTCATGCTTGCACTCAGTTTTTCTTTTTTCCTTTTAGATAAATGCGTTTAACTTGTGAAATGTAACTATTTTTCTTTTTTCATTCATCATACAGTTTCCTTTGGAGTTAGACCCGTGGAAATTGTTACAAAAGCATATTTTGGTTGATTACTCTAGTCATGAGGTGAGCGCTTGGCATATGTGTTAAATACCGCTTCATACCAATTTCTCTATCGATTAGCTTTGGCATGACTAATACGATGAAGTAAACTCTTTCCACCTCACCTCAGAACTAATTGATAGAGAAAGCAATGTATGCTATCTTTATAGTATTTGTTTACTCTTAATGTATTAGCTCATTTGATCATTTAAATTTATTTAAATTAAGAGACCATCCTTAACGTTTAATTTTGATTTTAGAAATAATCAAGAACCAATCTTTGAAAATTTAGGTTTATCTTTAGATAAATAGGATAATTTTTTCCATCTCCAAACTTGGAGGGCTGACCGTCTTCATTATGACTGACCCTCGTTATACTCTTGGACCTGTTTTGGAATACATGTTTTGTTTTGTCGCTTTATTCTTAAAATCTAAAAAAAGCCTGTTTAAAGGCATTAAGTTGGTATGCCATGTACTATAAGTATAATGGATACTGCCGTTTTTAGTAACAATATATGAAGAACACGTTAACTAGTAAATCTAGTCAACTATTAAGTGCCATCTGTGTTGTTGCTGAATTGATTAAAGACACTGTTTAGATAATCCCGTCAACTATTAAGTGCCATCTGCATTGGTTAATAATCTATCGATGCTGACAATGAGTGCCTTGTGTGTCAGGGACATGAGTTGACATTGCGTGTCCTCTACAGGTTATTTGGTGAGGCTGAAGTGGAGCCTGACTTCTTTTCTTCCACAACTGCAGCTTCTGTATATGAAACATTCCTCCTAACAGTGGTCTGTATTTTTTTTTTTGTTTACTTGTTTATTGTTTGTCCATTTGCGAGGCAAGAGTTCAAGAGTTGAGCTTTTGGTTAAACTTCTAATGCAGGCAGAAGCACTTAGAGATTCTTTTCCACCTTCGGATAAATCATTAAGTAAACTGCTCGGTGAATCTCCTTATTTGCCAAAATCAGTTTTAAAAATTTTAGAGAACATGTGTTCTCCTGGAAATGGGGATAAAGTTGAAAAGGAATCATACGCATTGAATGCGGATAGAGTTACTCAAGGTCTAAGTGCTGTATGGAGTTTGATTCTTCTAAGGCCTCCCATTCGGGATACTTGCTTAAAAATTGCTTTACAGGTTTTTCTCGTACTTTTTATTTGTATATTAAACATTTGTGGTGTTTTTTCTGTGTAGTTGTGATTTTTTTCCAGAAATCCTTTGATTCTGTTGTTTTTTCCCCTCACATGTTTAAATTGACATCAAAAGTAGGAGGCTTAATTATATTTGAATATGCTCCCAGTGTTCTTTGAATTATAGGACCTGAACTTTCAAACCTTGCTTCCCTTCATATTAGTAAATTTCTGTGTCTAACTAACTCTTTTCTTTGATCTTTTTCTTTCCATTTTTCATTGAAAGAGTGCAGTGCATCACTTGGAAGAAGTGCGCATGAAAGCAATTCGTCTGGTACTGGAGCATACTTTTCAGTTGAAGAATTTAATTGTCTGCATAAAAGCAACTGTCTTATACTTTCGGCTCTTGTAGGTAGCAAATAAACTTTATCCTTTATCATCAATTTCTAAGCAAATAGAAGATTTTGCGAAGGAAATGATGTTCTCAGTGAAGAGTAGTGACGCTTCTGAAGCTACAGATGCTGAAGGGTCCGTTGCTGATTCACAAAAGGTATTCTTGTTTTTATGAATTACCTTCAACTTTTTTGATTAGAGTCTATTTTCAGCAGATTTTTTTCCATATTTTTGTTGAACTAGATATACTATTTTACTTTTTCTCTTTTCCTTTTCTGGGACGTGATATTGAAAAGCTTGCAAATGAACCACTGTCTTTGAGTGGCAGTACTAAGGATGTCTCAGATAATCGGCAACCAAGCACATCTGAGGCCACCTCACTACTTTCAGTTTCTGAGGCTCAGAGGGGCATGTCTTTGTATTTTGCTTTGTGCACAAAGGTATTGTGTTATTTCCTAGAATATATCCAGTTGAAACTAAAGGGATTAATCCTTCAGTTATTGGAGGAAAAGTAAATAAAAAGAAAATTATATTGATGTGATGTGAATATGTTGGGTATTATGAAAATAGCACTTATTATTATTTATAGTACTACTAGACTCTTAATTTGATTATTAAAGGAATCAAATTGTAATATATAAGGAAATATGGAGACCGATCTGAGGTAGTCTATGTGATACTTCAAATTACTGAGATATAATAAAAATGGTATAAAATATTTTTTATATGGTCTAGCACTTGCTTGAGCTTGTTATTCCTAAAATTTGGATTGAGCCTAATTCAACCTTACAAAACCGGTTTGTAAGGTGTGAACTGTCTCTACGTATTAGTACAAGCATATGTTCTGGACATATCTCATTTGACGTGGAACTCTTAACACCCCCCTCACGCCGAATACTATTGGGCTTGGGCGTATTTATAAAAATGAAATGCCAAAAAAAAGTAATTTGACATCGGAGACTGGTAGATCACATCTAGGACAAAAAGAAGAGGTTATAGAATGCATTTGGAGCAAAAGTCAAGTTCGGATTGCATCTGGGTGGGATAGAATTTAGAACGTAGAACAAACAATCACTGGAAGAAATCTAGGGCCAAACAGCTTTTCTGAAATAGCCGGAACATCAAGTTCAACTCATTTATTTCACGAACTTAATTTTGAGATCAAGTTCGACTAATTTGGTTCATAAATCAAGTTCAACGAATTAATAAACCCACCGGTTCTTAACTCAAGTTCCGACTATTTCCTTCTTTAATAAATGAGTTGAACTTGATGTTCCAGCTATTTCATTAGATTCTATCCTAATTCTTAATTAAATAAGGAAATAGATCAAGATAAGAAAATATTGGAGACAGGTTCTATGAGATAATATAAGTTGGAGATGCAATCAAGATATTATAATATAATTTTCATATTTGTTGACAGATTTTTCTATATTTTTCATGTTCTGTTACATACTTTTAGTTGTTTGATCAAAAGTTCCTTATGTTGATGCTTTGTGATGACAGAAACACTCCCTCTTCCGCGAAATATTTGTCATCTATAGAAACACATCAAAAGCAGCAAAGCAGGTTTCAAATTTTGACATATGGTATTCTAGTGAATATTGTCAACTATTTGTTTTTGGTCACTAGGTTTATGTCATTAATTGTATGGCGCAGGCTATTCATCGTCAGATTCCCATACTAGTTCGTACATTGGGTTCATCTTCAGTTCTCCTTGAAATTATATCAGATCCCCCAAATGGAAGTGAGAAACTCCTAATGCAGGTTTACTGTTTTACCCTATAATTTTTCGCAAATGTAAAAATTTACAGAAATATATTGAATACTGTATTACCATATAATTCTTGAAAGAATCTCTTGGTAATGTATTGTGTATTGATATTTTTACATTGGCCTTGTCAGGTGTTGCATACACTTACTGATGGTACAATCCCTTCTAAGGATTTAATATTTACTGTGAAAAGGTTACATGATTCAAAACTTAAGGTATATCAAAATTTTTCCGTGTATGTTTTATAGTAAAATACTCTGGATTTTGCCTAATACCGATTACCTATCTGGCTGGTCCTTTACAGGATGCAGAGATTCTTATTCCAATATTGCCATTCCTACCGAAAAATGAGGTACTTTTTATTTTTTCTTTACATATAGATGTGAATTTAACTGTTTTAGTAAAATTACAAAGGGATTTCAAATCAAGAAAAACAATGTCATGTGAAATATTATCACTGGGTCATGTAAGAATTGTTTGTAAGTTATGTCTTTTTTCTTTGTTTACTTGCATATAATCTTGAAATATCTTGTTTTTCATTCGGTGAATATCTTTTAAAAGGTAATGCCGGTTTTTGCCAACATTGTTAAGATGCCTTTTGAGAAGTTTCAAGAAGCACTTGGTCGCATATTGCAGGTATGATTTACTCTTTTATAGCCAATAATCAGAGTTGCTAGTTAATGTAAGACCTAAGGAGACTCATTTCAATTCTTAAAAGGTTAAGTAGGGTTAGTAGAACCAAGTATTATATTCTATATGCCGGCCTGTCTACCTAAACCAAAAGCTATTATAGATGCTATAAGTATAACAGAACTTTGTAACAATAACTCGAGAAATCTAGAATTTCAGGCTAAGGACCTTTTGAAGTTGTAACATCTCAAGATACACAAAGGCAAAAGTTAAGTGAAAAATTGTGACAAATAGCAATTAGATATAAAACCGGTTTACTTTGCGAAAACAGTTTCTGTTTTCATTTCCTAAAACGTGTTCATTTTAATTTGCTAATAAAATGATGTAGAGCTCTTGAAGTGAACCATTGTGACGTAGATAAGATGAAATGCTAGTTAGGGATGATACATTTTTGGAAATAATGAAAATAAGTTTTTGGCGTTTTCACTGTTTTCAAAATTCACACACAATTGTTCACTTCACGAGTCTATTGTCTTCTTGTTAGCAAGTAAAGTGAACACAGTTTTGAAAATGAAAAATAGATTTATTTATTTTTTTGCAAAGTAAAAGGGGCATATTTTTGTTTATAAGGCTTGTCCTGTTTTTTGGGAAAGTTGCAGACCTTGAGCCTGGAAAAAGAAATTTAGTTTAGGAAAGATTTCATTAACGGTGAACTCTGAAACATGGGTACTTCTAAAATGGTGAAGTACTGGTACCGGGTACGCACCTGTACCGGGTACACGTACTTTACTCGTGGTACTTCATTTTTTCTTATTATTAGAATTTGAGTGTAATTTGTGGTTTTCTCAATTATCAATATACTAAATTTAAGTATTTTAATATCTTTGTTATCGTATCTTGCATTATTTTTTGTTTTTTAAAACTTTTATAGTAATATATTGTTATGAACCTAACAATTTAGTTATCTATTCATAGATTTTATATAAAACTCTTATTTTTTATTAACCTATCCGTACCTTGATTTTTTTTTTAAATGTCGTATCCCATACCGGTACCAGTACCCGCACCAGGTACCGTACCCGTACCTATGCATCATAGACGGTGGATAAAGAAACTAAATTTTGACCTTCCAAGAAATATAAAATGAGGAAAAATGTTTTTTGTTTACCGAGTTCATTCATTTTCTTTGGTGGGGGAAGGTGGCGGAAGAGGGATGTCAGAAGTGGATGGGGGAAGGGCGTGGGTGTGGAATATCATATGCAAAAACCATGAAATATTTTGTTAGGATTAGCATTACACCTGCGTGAAATTAGCACTTGTAGCTACAATTTTTAGGAGATAACTTTTTTTATCAACGAAGGTTGTGGGAAGTATACTCTGATATTATAAGAAAATATTGTTCCGAACCGTTAACACTTTTTAGTTATTGAATTAATTGCGGAGTTCATATACAGGGATCATCACAATCTGGTCCGGTGCTTACACCAGCTGAAATATTAATTGCTATTCATGGAATTGATCCTGAAAGAGATGGAATTCCCTTAAAAAAGGTAGGGCTCTTATGATGATTGGTTTTGTGCATCGTGCTTATTCAAGAAATCAAAATACATTTTGCATAACTGAAGGGTCTCCATGCAGGTAACTGATGCATGCAATGCTTGCTTTGAGAAGCGACAAACTTTTACCCAAGAAGTTCTTGCCAAAGTTTTGAATCAATTGGTATGTTATGTGGGAATTGCTTTATGTAATTGGAAAGGATATTCAACATAGTTTGATCTCATACAGCGACTGCTCTTCCCTGCAGGTTGAGCAAATTCCTCTTCCTTTATTGTTCATGCGTACGGTATTACAAGCAATAAATGCTTTTCCAACATTGGTAAGAAGCTTACTGACACAAGAAAATGCAATAATACAAAGAAACACATTTGATTATTTGTTGTGTAACAAAATTTAGGAATTTGATTGGTAGTGATTGTTTAGTGTTTTGAAACCCCATATAGATCTCTCAAAGTTGCACTGTTTATCTTTCACAATTGAATTACTTCCTTACTTTCCAATTTAAAATTTACCATCATTCTATTATATGTTTTACTGTTTGATTTGAATTTGACATATTTTTAAAAATTATTGACTTGGTTAAATTTCTACAGGTGGATTTTATTATGGGGATTCTCGCTCGCCTTGTGAAGAAGCAGGTAATTATTTGATCAATCTTATGTTTGATAATCCACTCAGCTGTTCAGTTTACATATACATGATTAAATGCGTCGCTGTAGATATGGAAACAACCCAAGCTATGGGTGGGATTCGTGAAGTGTTTGCAATTGACAAAACCTCAGTCATTTGGTGTTTTGCTTCAGGTATTATCATTTGTAAATTATAACTGTTTGGTGTTTGCATAGTCCTAAGCTCTTGTCTCTATCATATGTTCTCAATAAGTTTTTATGCTTAGTTCAGCACTCAACCTTTACATACTTATTTTGTATAAAAATGAACAGTTGAATGAAGGCTGAAAATACCAGTTATTATTACTATGTAAGAAGATTTATCAAGGCGCTGGCATGATATCTGTTGGGATTAAAAATAAGTTACAAACAATTTTTATTGTCAACGGAGAAATAGCATAAGCATGTAATGATATACACCCTCCGGACACATTTATAAGCAACAAAAAACTTTTTAGATTCATTGAACAAATGATGTATCTAGTCATGATTTTATACCAGATACATCAATTATTCAATGAATCTAAAAAGCTTTTTGTTGCTTATAAATGTGTCCGGAGGGTGTAGGTGTTCATTGTGGTTACTTATATTCCGTTGAACACCAGTAGCACCAATCTGTACATTATTAAACCACAGTTCATGAGATTTTTTTACATTTCCTATTTAAAATATTAGATAGTGGGAGAGCTCTATTTACCCCAAGATTAATCATACAATACATGTAATATGGTGGCTGTGAGATGAATATTTATATAATTTTTTAAGCGGGGGAGGATTGTGTTGTCTGTATTCTTGGAAGATATTTTTGAATTTTGATTATATTAAATGTTAGAATTTGATTCTCGGGTATGAAATGATTCCAGTAATCCAATGTCTGATCTAGGTATAATAAAAAGGATATCACAAGTGTATATTATACAAATTAAAAAATGTAATTGAGGTTTATTTACTTTTGAATTGCTTATAGTGCTCTTGTAGTTATCAAGTCGACGTCACCGAATACTTTCTATTAGTTTTAATTTGTGGCAGAAGGGAACCTAAAAGAAAGATAGAAAATATATGCTTTTGATCCTTATGTTCTATTTTCTCGGGAATACATATCTCCCTTCTGTTCTATTCTTTTTCAACTCGCCTTCATGATTTCAGGATGATCTTTGTGAAAGTTCTTATATGTTTAAAAATTTTGTTCTGATGTGTTTCTGGTGGTGTATGCTTCTGTGCAGCTACCTCCACCACAATTGGAAGCTGCATTAAATAAAGTTCCTGCACTGAAGGCACCATTGATTGCTCATGCTAGCCAGCCTGATATACAATCTTCACTTCCGAGGTTCATTAATCACTTGGCTCAATAGGGCTCTTATTTTCCCGTTCCTTTCGTCTTCTATATTTATTTCACTTTTAAAGTAGATGTTTATTCTTTATTCCCCTGTTTAAATTTATTTTTGGTTTGGGAAGGGGGGAAAACAATGTGTTCTGTTGTTGCCAATATGGATTCTTAGTTTAAATTTTTGTTCAGGTCTGTGCTGGTTGTTCTAGGCATTGTTTCCGATTCTCAGGCTTCAAGTCAGCCAGGCATTGTTTCCGATTCTCAGGTTTCAAGTCGGCCAGGCATTGTTTCCGATTCTCATGTTTCAAGTCAGCCAGGCATTGTTTCCGATTCTCAGGTTTCAAGTCAGCCAGGCATTGTTTCCGGTTCTCAGGTTTCAAGTCAGCCACAAACTAGCATTGTTTCCGATTCTCAGGTTTCAAGTCAGCCACAAACTAGCCAAACACAGACAGTTGAAACAAGCAACTCAGATAAGGACACAATGACTGAAAAATCCAAAGAATCGTCTGCAGCGAGCTAAACTTAAACAAGCATGGTTGTGTGGTGGAATCCACTAGTCAACTGTGAGACTAAGCTACTATTAGCTATCCAAGAAAATGGAATGATGGACCAGAATCGAAGGATTTGGCATGTTCAAATGGCTGAATAGTTGGTCCATGTGCTAAAGGTTTTGTACATTTGCATGGGGGCAACAACCTGGCTTTGTATATTTGTAGGTGGAGTGATATGTATTTTAGGATATAGGAAGAATCATCCTATCTCAAATTGGTACCAGTTTTGGGTTTCTGCTAGAGCATAGTGTTACAATTAGGAAATGTATACATGATATATTGATTACTTAGTGGATGCCTTTCTTGTGTTAATCTTGAACATTATTTATCTAGGGTTTAGACATGTATCTATGAGTATTTACTCATCCCTTCTATAATAATACATTTGGTTTTTATTTACTTTTTTATTTACTTTTTTATTTTATTTTAAAAACTTTGCAACAATACAATCAAACAATGAAGGGCACAGAACTTTGAGTTTTTATATTTTATATTTTAGATTATTTATGTTAGAAAGAAAAATTGGCTGAAAAATATAATCCATATAAGAGAATTACTTGATTATGTTGGTTCGTGGTAAAAAAGAAAAGATCAAGGACAGAAATATCTTTATTAAGAAATAGAATTTGAAGTTAAAATGTTTAGTCTTCCCTTTTGATGCATCTTTATTAAGAAATAGAACTTGAAGTTTAAATGTTTAGTCTTCCCATAAAAAATTGAATTCTTTGAAAATTGTAATTGTTGTTTGGTTTTCACATAAATCTTCTTTGACCACAAAATTTGATTTACAGCTGCAATTGCTGCTATTAATTAATCTTTTGCAGTGGATTGTGCTACTATCTCATGCTTCATGCTTCTTTTGTGCACCATAAAAAAATTTAAGAGCCAATATCTGAAAATAGGGGTGTTTATAGTTAATTGAATTATATATTTGAACTGTACTGAATTATAAAAAAAATTAAATCATTTAAATGATTAATAAACTGAAATATTTAATTTAAACAATTTAAATTCAGTTTAAAACCGATTCAAAATCAATTTCATTTTAAAATTGATTTAATTATATAAATTAATTTTTCATAAAATAAAAAATAATAATAATAATTTTTTTTAAAATTAAATAAAATAAAATAAAAGTTAAAAGAAAAAGTTTGTAAATAAAAAAATAACTAAAAATAAAAAATCTCCAAAATAAATTCTTTTAACAATGAAAAAAAAAGAACGTGAGTAGTTTCACCACAGGCCATTTCTCATTTCATTTTCAACAAAACAAAGTCAGACAGGTAAGGCCGTGTTTGTTTGTTGTAATTGTGAAGTTACATACCCTTTTTTTTTCTTCACCACTTCACCACTCCAACGCTACTCTCTACTTTCATACTTTCAGGTTTTTCTTCTTCTAAATTCTTCTCTACTTTTTTTTCTTATAACCATTTCGCATTTCACTTCTTCAATTTCGAATCGCTTTTTCGGCATTTCATCATTATCATCGTTTTTCGGCATTTCGAATCGCTTTTTCATTTTTCGTAGTAATAATTGCTATTTTGATAAAATTACTGTTTGTCATTTAGTGTACCATAGAAAAAAATTAAATAAAATAATAAAAAGTCGACGATATTATAGAAAAAAAATAACTACCGTGTAAAAAATAACAAGAATGTTAGTTTTTTTTATTATGTGTAAAGTAAAAAAATAACAATTAAAAAGAAACGAACATAACTTAATTTCATTAATTATTAATTTTTAATTATTGTTTTTTTTTTCCTGAAAATAATTTTTTTTTTAAATAAAATTTTCTTTTTTGAAAATCTGGTTTTTTGATATATAAAATTTTAATTTTTTTATGAAATTAAAAAAAATTAATTTTAAAAGAATTTAAAATATAAAATTGATTTAAAATTATAAACTGATTATAAACTAGTTTATAAATATAAATGAGTTTTAAATTAATTTTAATCTGAAATAAAATTATTTTAACAGATAATTAAATTTTTATTGAAATAATTATTACAAATTGTATCAAAATATAAATATAATTTGGTCCACTACGAACTATGAACATCCCCTATTTTTTTTCGAGATGTTGTAATTAGATTAGAGTACATCTGATACTCTTTTAATCAAACCTTGATTAAAAAAAAAAGAAGAAAAAAAATAGATCCAACCCAGTAAAAAAAATCCAACCCAATCATTATCTGAGAATCCACACATTATGAAGTTTTGGCAGCTCTTTAATTTGACACCTGTAAACAACCTTTCCTTTAGCATATCTCTATATTTACCTTGCAGATACTAAATGCATTTCAGTAGCACAATGCATAAAACTAGAGAGGATACTTACCACAAATTAAAGTCTGACCTTTGTTGCACTGAGATACAGTAACTATCCAATCAAATATTCACTTTGTTTGATCTAAATTCCTAGAAAATAGGTTATAAGATTAAGATTTGTCATTTCAAAAAGCCTGCATCATTTTTTTTTGAACTGCTCAATTAATCTTGTATTTGTTAGAATTAATTTAAATTTTATAATTAATTATATATTAATTTATATTTAAAAATATTTTTTAGATTGTTTATATTTTTGTTAGAAGATATATTTTAGATTTAATTTTGTGTATAAATAGCCTAGTGGAGTAGGTTATTGTAATTCATTGTAAATCCTTATTTTGAAACTGTCAGTAAATATTCATTTTGTCTTTTATCTTCCTTGTGCACCAACAATTGGTATCTAGAGCTCCGGTTCGAAATCCACGGAAAAAAGAAGTATTGTGATTAAGAATTACAATATTTTGATTCTAGAGTTTTGAGAAACATTAATTTGGGAAACTCTGCATAAATTGCTCAAAGGTAGAAGATGAACGGGAACGACGACAATATTCATTCCAAGCTTCCCGTATTTGATGACAAAAACTTGAATCGTTGGAAGATCCAGATGCACGTGTTATTTGGTTCTCAAGATGTGTTAGATCTTATCACCAATGGCTATAATCTATTAGAAGCAGACGCAACAGAGACACAAAAGGTAGCACAGAAGGCGCTGAGGAAGAAAGACCGGAAGACGTTGTTCTACATCCATCAATGTGTGGATGCTAATGTGTTTGAGAAGATTGTTGATTCTGAAACAACAAAGGCTGCGTGGGACATACTGGTCAGATGTTACGGTGGTGACGCATCAGTGAAGAAGGTGAAGCTTCAGTCTCTCAGAAAGCAATATGAGAATTTTAACATGAAGGTGTTTCCAGTGATTTCTGGTAAACAACCGCTAGTCTTCCAAACTATCGAATAATCTTTCTTAACGTTATTCAATCTCTCTGGTAACTCACAGGATCGACTAGATTGATCCTAGGACTCCTTGGATATTAAGGTTACTCTCACAATCGAACAATTATTCATGGTTGCTATTGTACAAGTGTTTGGCTTACTTCGATCTCTCTCTCTAAGAGTTTAAAAATGTGGTCAAAATGTATATGAAGACTAAGTTATACGAATAAATGCTAATTGTAATGCTGATTGTAGAGACATGTAAAACTGCATGAAAAATGAAGTAAATGGTTTCGATTTACAAAACGTTTAACATAAAAGGTTTCTGGAATGTAGAAGTTTAAAATGTGAAGAAAGCGTTTAATGCAAGAAATCTGTAAATGATTTTAAGTAAAAGTATGCGCTTGAAGAACAATACTTGAAAGTAAAGGTATTGAAAATGTAACAGTTCTCTGAAATATAAAGTGCTCGAAATATAAAGAAAACAGTAAAACGTAAAACTTTGAGGAAAAGACTTTGAAATGAAAAGACAGTAAATAAGAAAACTTGCAAATGTTATTCGACAAAAAGAAAAGAGGAAAGTACTGGAAATGGTAAAAAGGCTTTCATTAAGTTAGAAATACATGGTGCTATCATACATACATTTCTCTTGCATTCGTTTCCCTTGCCATGTGGTAGTTTGAATGTTATTGAGTATTTTGTATAACAGATATGACACCCCGAAATCCTAATACTAAGACTTCTATTTATACTAATTCGACCCTAACAGTCTCGCTACAGGATTATGCCACGTTTCGAACATGCAAGACAATGCTTCTTTCATCTTTCCACGTGTCCCCAAATGCTCCAACACATAACTTTCAAACTTTGAAAGTCCCGCTTCCATTTGAATTTTAAATGCTTTGGTGTTTCTCCGTTTCGAACGCTTTTCCCAAACATAGCCTCGCTGTTGTTTCGAGACCCCTTTGGATATGTTCCCATAATCACCGTTCGAAGCTTCAAGCTTTGACACACTTATTCGAAACACTGCTTCTGCAACTTCGAAATATGGCGTTTAATTCCATTTCGATCAGAACTTTTAACTCTTTTGAATTCTAAATAACATTATCAAAATCTTCAGCCAACAGAAGGACAACGAGAAGGTTTCTGAATACGTCTCTAGAGTGATTCTGATCACTAATGAGATGAAAGCTTGTGGAGAAACTCTGTCTGAACAAGTAATTATTGAGAAGATCTTGAGATCTTTAACTTCTCAGTTTGATTACATTGTGGTAGCAATTGAATATTCCAAAGATCTGAACACTATGAGAGTTGGAGAGCTACAAAGTAGTCTAGAAGTGCATGAGTTGCGTATGACTGCAAGAACTTCTGAGAGAGAAGTAGAGCAGCAGGCTCTGAAAGTAACTTCTGATAAGAAGCATCAGAAGCAGACTTGGTCAGAAGTCAGGAAGAAAACTAATGGTGGTCAAAGGTCAGGAGCTTCAAACTCTGATAGGTAGAAGAATGTCCAAAAGGGAAAGGAGAAGTCTGACCAGAAGAATGTTCAGTGTTACTGTTGCAAGAACTTTGGTCACTATACCAGAGATTGTTGGTCCAACAAAGAAAGGAAGTCATAAGAAGCAAATATAGCAAGAGGAGAGTCTGATGATGAACCTGTGCTATTGTTGGCTCATGAACCTGATGATCTGTATTCATCAGAATGGTGGTA